CAAAACCACAGTCACTGTCAGCACCACATCAGTCTGTCTCGTCAGCACCGTCCGCAGAACAAAGACCACATTCGTCATCAGCGGCAATACCAGGCTCTGAACAAGCATCGGGTGCAGAGCTGACATCGAAACTGCCGCCATATCAAAGGCCAGCATCAGAAATCGCTTTGAAGCGAGAAACACGGCAGATTCTTCTGACACAACTGCCTCCAGGATCATTAGCACATCAAACGCCATTGTCCCTATCATCTCAAGAGCTGGTAATACGCGAGGAATCTTCGCCGGAATCATCTCCAAACACCGCAGCATATCAATCATCACCATCAATATCAAATTCAGAATCAGCTCTAGGTAAAAAGCCATCCCCACAACAATCGATGCGTCAACCATCATTGTCAGAAGTAGCATTGCAATCGCCGCTCCATCAATCAGCACCATTAGGACCGCTGCAGTCTTTTCCATCGCAAACGCACCCAGAATCCACAAAACGTTCAATACTGCTACCAGAGCCATCCCAGGAAACGTCAGCACTTCAATCAGTATCATCCGCAGAACTACGACCACATTTGTCGTTAGCGGCAATACCAGGCTCCGAACAGCTGTCGGGTGAAGAGCTAACTTCGAAACTACTGCCATATCAAAGGCCAGCGTCAGAAACCGCTTTAGAGCAAGAAACACCGCAGCATCTTCCGTCACAACTGCCTCTAGGGTCATCAGCACATCAAACGCCATTATCCAAACCATCTCAGGAGCTGTTAATACATAAGGAATCTTCACCGGATTCCTCTTCAAACACAGCAGCATATGTATCATCACCGTCAATGTCAGATACAGAATCAACTCTAGGTGAAGAGCCATCCCCACAACAATCGATGCGTCAGCCATCGTCGTCAGAAACAGCATTGAATTCACCGCTCCATCAATCAGCAGAGTTAGGTTTAGCGTCACTCCAATCTTTTCCGTCGCAAACGCACCTAGAATCCACAAAACGTTCCACACAGCTAACAGAAGCGTCCCAGGAAACGTCAACACTTCAATCAACATCGTCAAAACCACATTCACTATCAGCACCACATCAGTCAGTCTCGTCAGGATCATTCGCAGAAGTAAGACCACATCCATCATCAGCGGCAGTACCAGGCTACGAGCAAGTATCGGGTAAAGAGCTAACATCGAAACTGTCGCCATATCAAAGGCTAGCATCAGAAACCGCTTCCGAGCGAGAAACACCGCAAATTTCTCTGCCACAACTGCTTCCAGGATCATCAGCACGTCAAACGTCATTGTCCCAACCATCTGAGGAGCTGGTAGTACATAAGGAATTTTCGCCGGAATCATCTTCAAACACAGCAGCATATCAATCATCACCATCAATGTCAAGTGCAGAATCAACATTAGGTAAACAACCATCCCCACAACAATCGCTGCGGCAGCCATCGTTGCCACAAGCGTTGCAATCACCGCTCCATCATTCAGCAGAGTTAGGTTTAGCGTCACTCCAATCTTTTCCCTCGCAAACGCACCCAGAGTCCACAAAACGTCCATCCCAGTTATCAGAGCTGTCCCAGGAAAAGTCAGCACTTCAATCATTATCATCAGGGTCACATTCATTGTCAGCACCTCATCTATCAGTCACGTCGGCATCATCTACAGAACTAAAACCACATTCGTCATCAGCGGCAATACTAGGCTCAGAACAAGTATCGGATGCAGAACTAACATCGAAAATGCCGCCATATCAAAGGCCAGCGTCAGAAACCGTTTTACAGCAACAATCACACGAGCGGGTACCACTTCAACCATTGTCATCACAATCAATTCCAAAAGCAGGTACGTCTCAGTCATCAGCGTCAACATCAGATTCAGGATCAATATTAGGTAAGGAATCATCCCAACAACAACCGCTGCGTCAACCATCATGGTCAGAAATAGCATTGCAATCACCGCTCCATCAATTAGCACCGTTAGGACCAGCATCACTCCAATCTTCTCAGTCGCAAACGCACCCAGAATCCACAAAACGTTCAATACAGCTATCAGAGCCATCCCAGGGAACGTCAGCACTTCAAATAGCATCATCAGGATCACTGTCAGCACCGCATCACTCAGATACGTCGGCATCATCTACAGAACTAAGACAACATTCGCCTTCAGCGGCAATAATAGGCTCCGAACAAGTATCGGGTGCAGAGCTAACATCGAAACTGCCGCCATATCAAAGGCCAGCTTCAGAAACCGCTTTACAGCAACCATCTCACGAGCCGGTACCACTTCAACCGCCGTCATTACAATCACCTTCAAAAGCAGGAACGTCTCAGTCATCACCGTCAACGTCAGATTCCGAATCAACGTTAGGTAAACAATCATCCCCACAACACCATCCATCGCTGTCAGAAGCTGCTTTGGACTCATCACTACATCAATCAGTACCTTTAGGACCACGACCACTTCAATCTTTTTCGTTGCAAAACCACCCAGAACGTCAAATACAGCCGTTAGAGCCATCGCAGGAAAAGTTAACGCTTCAATCACCATCATCAGAATCACATTCACAGTCAGCACCATATCAATCAGTCTCGTCAGCGTCCTCTAAAGAACGCACACCATATTCATCATCAGCGGCAATACCAGTTGCCGAACAAGTATCGGGTGAAGAGCTAACCTCGAGCCTACTGCCATATCAAAGGCCTGCATTAGAAAACGGTTTAGAGCCAGAGACACAACAGCTTCTTCTGCCACGACTGCCGCCAGGATCGTCTGCACGTCAAACACCGTTATCTGAAGTAACTAAGGAGCCGATAACACCTAAGTCACCTTCGTCAAAATCACCTTCAAAAACAGTAGCATCCCAATCATCACCGTCAACATCAGAATCAGAATCAACATTAGGTAAATACCCATCCCCGCAACAACCAGTGCGTCAATTATCGTTGTCAGAAACAGCATTGGAATCACCGCTTCATCAATCAGCACCGTTGGGACCAGCATCGCCCCATTCTTTTCCGTCGCAAACGCACCTGGAATCCACAAAACGTTCAACACGCCAATCAGAGCCATCCCAGGAAACGTCAAGACTTCAATCAGCATCTTCAAATTCACTTGCACGGTCAGCACCACATCAATCAGTCTCGTCAGCATCATCTAAAGAGCATATACCACATTCGTCATCAGCGGCAATACCAGGTTCCGAACATGTATCGGGTGAAGAGCTAATTTCGAAGCTACCGCCATTTCAAAGGCCAGCGTTAGAAACCGCTTTAGAGCAAAAGACACGACGGCTTCATCTGTCACAACTGCCTCCAGAATCATCAGCACGTCAAACGTCATCATCCCAACCATCTCACAAGTCCGGACCACTTCAACCATTGTCATCACAATCACCTTCAAAAGCAGGAACGTCTCAATCATCACCGTCAACCTCGGATTCAGAATCAACGTTAGGTAAACAATCATCCCCACACCACCATCCATCGCTCTCAGAAGCAGCTTTGGACTCATCACTACATCAATCAGTACCTTTAGGACCACGACCACTTCAATCTTTTTCGTTGCAAAACCACCCAGAACGTCAAATACAGCCGTTAGAGCCGTCCCAGGAAAAGTTAACGCTGCAATCACCATCATCAGAATCACATTCACAGTCATCACCACATCAATCAGTCTCGTCAGCATCATCCGTAGAACTAAGACCACATTCATCATCTGCGGCAATACTAGGCTCCGAACAAGTATCGGGTGAAGAACTAACTTCGAAACAACCGCCATATCAAAAGCCAGCATCAGAAACCGCTTTAGAGCGCGAAACACCGCAACTTTTTCCGACACAACTGTCTCCAGGATCATCAGCACGTCAAACACCTGTATCTCATGTATCTAAGGAGCCGATAACACCTAAGTCACCTTCGTCAGAATCACCTTCAAAAACAGTAGCATCCCAATCATCACCGTCAACATCAGAATCAGAATCAACATTAGGTAAATACCCATCCCCACAACAACCACTGCGTCAATCATCGTTGTCAGAAACAGCACTGCAATCACCGCTCCATCAATCAGCGCCGTTAGGACCAGGATCGCTCCAATCTGTTCAGTCGCAATTGCATCCAGAATCCACAAAACGTTCAACACAGCTGTCAGAGTCACCTCGGGAATACTTGACACTTCAACCGGCATCATCAGAATCGCGTTCGCTGTCAGCACCACATCAATCAGGTTCGTCGACATCATCTACAGAATTAACACCACATTCGCCATCAGCGGCAACACCAGACTCAGAACAAGTATTAGATAAAGCGGAAATTTTGCAACCACCGCCACACCAGAGGCCACAATCAAAAACACCCTTAGCGCAAGGAGCTCGGAACCTTCTTCTGCCAGAACCGCCATCAGGATTATCAGTATCTCAAAAGTCACCATCTCACAAGCCGGTACCACTTCAGTCATCGTCATCGCAATCAGCTTCAAAAACAGGAACATCTCAGCCAGCACCGTCAACGTCAGATTCAGAATTAACATTAGGTAAACAATCAGCCCCACAACAACCGCTGCGAGTCCTATCGTTGCCAGAAACAGCATTGGAATCATTACCGCGTCAATCAGCACCTGTCAAAACACAATTGTCAGAACCATCTCCGGAATCAATATCATCAAAATCATATTCGCAGTCAGCACCACATCAATCGGCATCGTCGGCATCATCTGCAACACTAACACCGCATCAGTCATCATCGCTAAGTTTAGGTTTAGAATCGACATCTGATATAGCACCAACTTCGAAACCACCGCTATATCAAAACCCATCATCAGAAACAGCTTTAGAACAGGAGACACAACCAAAGCCACCGCAAACGCCATTGCCTGGAGAATCATCTCCAGGACAAGCACCTTTATTTACAAGACTAGTGGCCACTGAGTCAACAACAGATAAGGTATCGTCTTCAGAACAAACACCACGGCAGGCCCTATTGAAAGAACCAGAATCAGAGTCAATATTACATCAGTCAACGCTCTTAGCCACCGCTGCAGCGCAAGGTTCGCTACCTTCCCAATCACATCTTGAATCAACAACACAAGAAACGCTGCAGTCAGAACCGTCTCAAGAAACGCAAACACGTCGACCGACATCGAAACATCCACTTCCAGTATCGGCAGAATATGAAGAGCCATCATTACGTCAATCGCCAACGAAATCAGTGACACGTCTGTCAGCGCAGTCAACATCAGCTCCTGAATTAACAACACGACAACCAGCAACATCAGAACCATCTCTAAATTTAAAGAAAACACCTTCAGGTGTGGGTCCTACAAAAAGTCCACTGCCATCGTCAAAGAAATCCTCAAAGGGAACAACACCTCCGCCTAAAAAGAAAAAAAAAAAGAGCTATGAAGCAGGTCCTAGACCACCCTTTGGTCAAGTGTATAGGTTTGGTTAGTAATAATAAATTTTAAAAAAAATTTGGATGTAACATACATTTACACAATTGAAGTATCAATTAAAAAAATTATTTACCAGCCAATTTACAAATACAATAATAGTGCAACATTTACATATGAAAACATACAGAAATAGAGCCTGAAATTGCGAAATTGTATGACAACATTCTTGTTCTTCTGTTCACTTCTGAAAGTTGCAAAAATAATTACAATTTTCTAAACTTGTTAAAGTATAGATATATATTTTTTCAACAGCATTTAATTCTTATGTCAATTCTTTGATTGTGTACTGTTGTTTAAAAACTTAACGTTCGTGGTTAGATTTCACACGTTGTTTAAATAAATAATGGTCGACAATGACACTAGCGTTTTCTTATCCAAATTTCTTCTTCCAATAATTTGCAACTCATAGCGGATCTCAGTCTGTTTTTAGCCAAATTTCTACTCAGTCAGCAACGGTCTGTGATATTTTTACTTATCGGGTCTTTAAGACTCGACTTTTAAAGTTTTATTTAGCACTAAATTTGAAAAACGGAGAAGCAATCATTTTTTTTTTTTTTAAATTAAAGCAATATACAGACCGCGGTTATTTTATGAATAATTCTACGGTTCTTAAAAGTGGATCAAATTTCAAACCTTGTCGGAGAATATTTTTATTTTTTGCACAGGACATAGTACAAGAACAGCAACTGTTTGTTGTTCAAGATAACTGAAACCGGGCAAAAAAAAGTAGGAGTCATTCCTTCACTCATTTTTGATAAGATCGGTAGGTAGCAACAACGGCTTCAGAAAACCGCAAGACTTTATTTGGAAGAGGGAACTATAGTCCACAACTCCAGACCATTTCTTGCTTAGTGGCAAACATAAGTAAATGTTTTAGTGTTAGAGATCTGGTGGATCATAGGCGATATTATCTTGGTTTTTTTAGTTTCTATATATGAAGAACAAAACACTATTTTCTACAACAAGACTAGGGCAATTGACGACGTACGTCATGGATATAATCGCATTATTATGGAAAGGACCCTCTCCGATTATTGAATACAAAACTTACGTTATCGAAATAATCAATTCGTTGTGCTAATAATTTCCGTCGATTGACGGTTTGATATGTTTAATGTCCGTATTGTGGAAATAATGATCTCGTTATAGAAAAAATTTGCGTTGATTAACCGGTTGACCGGCTAAATGTTAATGTTGCAAAAATAATTAAATATGGGAGTAGTGCTTTTGAGATTGATTTTAGCTATTCAATATAAAGAATACAAAATTGCATTGTGTACATTACAATAAGTTGCCATTTTTAGTCAAGTGAAAGATAATATTCGTAAATGAAGGCTAATAAAGGACAAATTATGATTTTGTATTAACCCATCATATGCCCCTTCTAAGCAGAATGTTAGTGTTGGCTAAAACATGTCATCCGAATCAACAATCCGATCTAAGATTTATTGACGGGACTACCACCAAAAATATATAATATAATGTTTTCGAATTCTTGGGAATCGTGAAATTTTTGATCTCAAACGTTGTTGACAATTTTGATTTCTACATCGCCTTTCATTGCAAATCAATTGTGTGCATTACAAGAAGGCTAGTTATTGATTAATTTCCTTTCCTGCATGTTTGTTAATTAACCGATATGCCCGTGTATCTTCCTACTTCCCTAAGTATAAAATTATTTTTAAATATTCCGAGTAAACATTATTCTCTCCCAAGTACGTACCAGTTTTGGAATTTTAAGGTGTCATTAGGCTTTCTTAGACTAAGTGCTTAGATTTCGGATAGGTGATATTAGAATGCTATAAAATCAATATTTAAAATAGGCGCTGTGCTTCGAACGACTAAGGTTTGTGATTTGCATAAGAGCCCACTCGTCGGTTTCATGTTTTCACAGAAAACGCTGACCTGACAAAAAAAAAAACGATCAGGTGAATTTTTCTTATAAATTTTTGGTGTAGGTTTTCTTGAACCGAAAATCAGATGAAGTTTTCTTAGAAATATTTTTTTTTTTACAAAACCTACACCAAAAATTTATAAGAAAAATTCATCTGATTTTCGTTTCAAGAAAACCTACACCAAAAATTTATAAGAAAAATTCATCTGATTTTTTTCATAAAGTGCTCGATGTCAAAAAAACTTTTAACTACTTATCACTTATGGTATGGTATATTAAGTTTTTGCGGCGGCACGTAGCACTCAAAAGGGGTTAAGATAGATCTACCTTTTATTGTACCGATCGATTCGGAATCATTTTTTGAATGTATTTTTGCTTTCAATTGGCCGCAATTTTTGAGACAGTGTTGATGAAATTTGGTACACTGATGCCCTTTAACGCAATGAAATGGTTCGGATTGCTGCGTAATAGTGCTCCGATTTGCTAAGTTAGTGTGAAAAATTCGTTCGGCTGGGGAAAACAGGGTTTTAATGAAAATGGCGTTGCATGAAAATAATGCGTAATTTTTGGTATATTAATATCAAAACGAGTAAACAGCGGTAATAGGCTAAGTGGACTAAAGTATCTAATAGCCTTGTCCGGCTATAATGTTATTACCAGTTTTTTATGGAAAAAACTTATTCCAGATTGATACAACCCATCGATTTTAGTGACAACATTTTTTAATATGTTCATGGAAATAAAAAACCGTAATAAATTCATAATTTAATTACTCTTAAACGCTTAAAATGAATTACCATTTTTCAAAAAATTTAGGCACAACCAAAAGATTTGACACATTGAACGCTTTAAATAACCATACTTTGGTGTATATAAAAGGGTCGGACTAATAAACATCTTTTTACAAACACTTCAAAGAGAACGATGACAGTAAAGTATTTCCAAGTATTAGTAGTTAGTGCTGTGGTTGTAATCTTTTTTTTGCCTATACATAATTGTGTACCTGGTATGATTTTATATTAATTGGATTATTTAAAAAAAAAAACTTACATTTGTCTGTTTACATATCAATAATATACGCAACTGTCATCGCCAGTACCGCAGCACTATTCAGCAATATACGACGAGTACGCAGCGCCGTCGGCTCCAATAGTAACATCAGCCGAATATTATGCAGACCCGAATCAATACTATGCATTAGTGCCGGCTGAATACTATACACCGCTTGATCAATACTATTTACAACCAGTTCAATCCTATGCTTCACTTTTACCGTTATCTTCATATTATTATCCCCAACCACCATCTTACGCGGCAGCACAGCCAACAATCCCGCCAGGCCAATACTTTCCAGAACTATCAGCACTACCGCCATTCCAACACTATCCATCACTGCCTCAATACTACTACTATGCAACACCGCCGCCTGAAAGGATTAAAGTTGTTAACATATTTGCGTAGGCAGAAAGTTAATTTTTTGATTTTGATAAGGATCCAGTCTGGATAAGAATGGATCTTGTAGAAGTATATATGGCATAGTACGAAATGGGCAGGCTTATATACATTTCGTTTTAGAAAATTTTTTTCTGCTTTGAGTGCGAAGAAAATGCTTAATAAAGTCTATTTCGTTGACTTTTAACGACAATGTTTGTTTTGTAATGAGGTAAGATAGGATGTGAAGGGATGGTCGTATATAGCATTCGTTATATAAAAGAATTGAAGCAATAGTAAATGCATGCTTTATTAATTTTTAAATGTTTATCATGAATGACGACTTTTTCTAGACGTCAAGCAAATGCCACGTCTATACCCTACATGTAGGTAGTACAGAAGTATATAAGTTTGTGCGGATACATACAACGCCGAGAAGGATTTAAGACAGACCCGCCTTTTACTGTATTCAGAATGTGTGCATGCATGGTACCGTGTGTCTATATGATTCAGAATGTGATTCTGAATCGATCTGGAGTTGTCTATCCGTCTGTGTGGCCCAGGGTTTTTGTGTTTAATCTGCAAATCGGAATTTTTGAGGTATTTTGATGAAATATGGTACGCTGAACGTTCTGACGAACCCTATTGAATATCATTCGGATCAGACTGGTTGTTCAAGCATTTCGTATAAAACACCTTACCTTAAAAAGATATTTCGCGACCAAAATCGTGAAGTAGTAATTGGGCTGAAAAAATACCCTGCCATATAACCTTTTCTACGAAAATCGAATCTTTACATGATAAAAAGGTCTTTTTTAATATTTCATGGTGGAAATTGGTCCGTATATAACAGTATTTTTTGGATCTCCCTCCATGTAAGGGATTTAATGAAAATTAAACCTGTACACGGTAAAAAGTTCCAATTGTTGATATTTTATGACAAAAATTAACCTCCAAGAGAAATTTGCTATAAAACTTAACTGTATCAAATTTGTGTCAAATAGGTCTATATATTTTACATAATAAAAGCATTGTTATGAAGTATTAAGACCTTGTATGCCAAAAGGATCTAATTTTTAATAATTTATAATAATAAAAATTTTTCTATAATAGTAATTTGACGTAAAATTGCATTGGATCAAATTTGAACCACATGGACCTAATTTTTTGGCGCCATCTCGTGAGCACAAAGGTTTATTTTTCATTATTATTTGATGAAAATTTGATAGTAGCTTAAAAATAATGGTTGGGAATATCGACTACATAGATCTATGTTTTAGATTCCAACATAGGTATCGGCTTTTATGATGAGCAGGTTATTTTATGGCGACAAAGTCTTATTTTATACTTTTACGGCAGAAGCAACTGAAAAATAATGAAATTTAGACAATGTTAGTTCATGCTTTAAGCATCCTCCAATATGAGGACTTTCAGGAGAAGTATGCCTTGACACAAAAATAACGTATAATTTTTGATCTATTATCACAATACTGAGTAAATTAGACGAAGTGGTGTTGGTTATCTGATGGTCCACCTTGTCCGAGTGTTATGGGCTCCTTTTGCCTAATAATAATTTGGTAGTGGGTACGATTTTGTAGTAATTGGATTAGTTACAAAAAATCTCCTTACATGGCTACACCATACACCGCACTGCAACTTCCAATTAGGTTCACCATTAGTATGCTGCCACGTCAACACTATAAATTCAGTCAGCCGTACCACCATTAACGCTACGAACCATCTTCACATTCAGTACCGCCGCCGGTATTTTACTATAATTACTAATTCGATCATCTGCTTCATCATCAAATTAGTACTGACCACTAGCGAGTGAAAACGTCACATGATGTTTGTTGGGTGTGTGTCTACGTATTTCATTAAACAATATCTTTTTTAAACTAAAGAAAATTTATTTCATTGATCATAATGATAATGGCAACTGAACGTAGACGATTGAATTAGAACGTAGACTATTAAAAACAAATTTACAACTTGATTACTGTTAAAAGCTTTATGAAACTTAATTAAACAGCACCAAGTGATTTAACATAATAAACCGTCCAAATAATTTTACAAAGTATGTAGAAACCGGATTTTTAAATATTTTCCTGCAAATGGGTTCAAGAATAAAACAGCAAAGGAAACTAGTAAACAAATTAAAACACTTGAATCCGATGAATTTATTGCCAAAAATTTTAATAGTTGATGTTTACGTGCGAATATATCGGAAGATCGTAAGTACTAGGTCGATGTATTACAAATATATAAAGAGGGTAGTTCCAGCAACAATGGTTACGGCGTCGTTGAAACGTGACTGAAGTAACATAATTTCTCACACCGCTACAATAACGTCAGCAAGCGATAGTCGATGAAACGTCGATGAAATTGAAAAACTTTTTAACTTTTTGCTTAAATAAATTATTAAAAAAATTTATTTGGACAAATGGAATTGTGTTGAACACAATCCAGTATTGTTTAGGTATTAATGGCACACATTTTCATTTTAAATGTATTTATTCGTCTGAAAATCTTAATAAAACGTACGTTATTAATAAGGTAATTTGAAAGAAGAATATAGCTCTTCTTCTAGCGTTATTCCAAAGTTTGCAATAGAAACTATGAGAAGGGTCAAATAATTTTCTTTGCTTCAAATCCAAGGTAACTACATTACTTATCTTATATTCGGCTTCGATATCGACTACGTAATTTTTCAAAACGGTGGGCGTAGAGAGTTTTGAGAACTGGACTTTACAGAAGACTATCAGTAGGTACGTGCTCGTTACTTGTTCTGAAAAAGCATAGAAGAAATATTCTTTACGGCAAACCGTAATAGATAAGATATTAAAATATATGAAATTAAAAAACAAACACCCACAAGGACTAAAACATCATCACAACTAATCGTATGCATTTCTTTAAGCTTTTCTAATAGTTATTGCTTTCTTTGTTTTTCGGTTAGTCTTCAGTTTCTTTGAGCGATGACAATGATAATTGTTTTTGAAATCATCTTTTTTGCCTTCTATGGTGTAGGTTGTTTTAAGGAAATGCAAATTTCGGGAAATGTGAGACGAACCGTGCGACTGAGTGACCAAGCAAACAAAGCAAGTATGCTACTGTTCGACACTTAATATTTTGATTTTTAAAACCAGCTTTAACTCTTCTTTTAATAATCAGAATGGTAGAAAATGGATCGGAACTACACAAATAGTTTACCTTCCTCTATTAACTCTTATTACTTATGGAGGAACTTTAGTAGATTTAGTTATTTTTTTTACATTTAGTTTCTTTCATTAGTTAATGGCAATTCTAATAAACCACAAAAGAAAAAGATTTGCAAAACCCAATTCAATCCGTACCCTTTTTTTCAATGTTATTATCGCTTAAGATAGAAGACAAGTTTACGAAAGCACAATCGTATATCCAGTACCAGGATCATAGCGATGACACCAATAAATTAGAAAAGAAAACATTTTAGAGATTTCCAATTTTTCCCACAACTTTGTCCCAACGTCGCCACTAGCAGTATAACATTACAATAGTCAAAGTTTCGATGGACGCTAAGGAGTACCATTAGAGCTATAATACCAACGTCAGAACCACGATTATCTACTTTTGTGTGGTTTTTTGGTCTTGGCTCACCTTTTGAACGATATTCGATTGACCGATTGTTCCCGGTCGTTTGCGTAGACCCAAGCATCATCTCATTTCTCAAGCAAAATTTCATGCAACTTCATTGCTCAATAAAATCGCATATTGCAAAAATCGGAAAAAATAATTTTTTGTAGCGTAGTTGAAACACTAATGACGTTCATGGTGTGAAATTTGACGCAGTATCGATCTGACCTACGAAATTAACGAAAAGCCCGGGATGTTTCTAATTCGAAGTTATTTATTTCACCTTAAATGAAGGAATCAAAGACAATCGGCAAAGCCAATTTGAACTCTGACAGAGTCATTAACGAAGGCACAAGAATTTCTTTGTCCGCTTACATATTTCCTAAAAAGATTTCATAAAAAAGACGGCACACATGTGGGATTCCTAGCTTATGTCGTTTTGTGATAAATGGGTAGAAAGTGTATAAAATCTATGGCTTGAGAAATCACAAATTAATTCAACATTATTTTCAAAAAATAAGGAACATTTTTCATCGTTTCTTTCATCAGATCGGTATCGTTAACGTTTGACGGCACTTTTATGACATTGAGCTTTTTTGCTTATATATCAAAGCGTCTTTTGTAATTGTCGGAAATTCTTTTGTATTGAACAAAGAGTGTTTATTGAATTCTTATTGAATCATTATAGCCGGGCAAAGCCGGCTATTGGATACCAGTGTTTCGCCTAATACAGTTATTCACTCGTTTTGATAATGGTACACTAAAATTTACACATTATTTCCAAGCAAAGGCATACTTTTCACCAAATTCCGCAAGGTTGACTTCTATGTCAATTTATTATTATGTACTAATTTTGATCATTAGACGTTATATCTTTTTACTATATTAAGATTCAGTTTTCGTAGGAACGGTTATATGAGAGAGGACTCAAAAATTGCCCCAGTCGAACAAAATTGTTCATATCAATTTAGAATGTCTACATACTATTACAGAGCTAATTTTGTCTTTGGTGGTTGGGTCAAAGCATGTCAGTCATCAAAATATCTCACAAATTGCGACCTGCAGTTTGAACAAAAATTGAAACGGGGAGACAACAGGAGAGACGGACAGTCACGCTCAGAGCCATTTTCTGAATCGATCGGTATAAAACAAGGCTGGGTGCTGCGCACAAACTTAACATGCTCTATACCATAAGTGGTGTAGGGTATAAAAGGAAATCGCGTATGCAGCGAAACGTCCGAAAGAATACTACAGTCAAATGTCTAAAGTGATGGAGGTGGTGCAAAAAATGAATTCAAAGCAAGTCAAAAATCCACAAAATAATATGTTGATTATTCTCTTTTATTATTGTATGGTTGTTCGTAAGGAGTTCCTTCCAAAACGTCAAACAGTTAATAATGAATATTGCTTAAGCC